TATATCTCAACTTCATACGACCTATCAATATGGATGTAGACAGTAAACGAAAATAGATACATTTTTTTCTGGTTAGTGTTTAATATGGGATACTATTATGCTTATGCTTTTTATATTATGCTTATTAGATTTACAATATTGCTTATGTGAATAATGATAAAAAATATATACTCGATGTCTCGTAACCGCAAACACCGCGTGCCAACTCATATAAGAACTTAGAGAATTAAATCCTATACTTTTAAAGGGGCTTACGTGACGCTATCTCTCCCCCTCTACCGTCTGATCCCACCATATAAAATAATTTGTTATATGACAAAGTTTGTATATTTATTGTGTTTGATCAGTTTTTCATACACAATGTTATATAGAAAAATATTCTTAATGAATAATGTTGCGGATTTGTGAAAGGTAAAGGGTTTGAGTCCCATCTCAGAGCGCCAGGGGTAAAGTGGATTTTTTTAAGCATTTTTTATTAAGAATATTTTACTGTATGTTTTTGACCCAAAGGAGAAATAACTGTGAATAAATATTCTGGCATAGAAAACATAATGATACTGTGCGTATATACATACACCACTGCTACGTTCTGGAGGAATAAGTGCTTCCAAAAAGTAGCAGAAATGTTATACTGCATTTTTTTAATATTTCAAGGGGGTGAAGCTTTCAATAAAACACACGTATTAAAAGAAAATAATATATTTAAATAGTTTACATTACAAATATCATGGCACCGCAGCAAGGCACTACCGATCGAATCACTTTATAATATTTATAGGACTCAGAGTGGGTTGGGTTACAATTTCTAAGTATTTTTAAAAGGCACTACTGACTCACATGTTTTTAAAAAGAAGATTTTTTTATTAAACTTCTTGACTAGAATTTAGACTCCAAAAATTTCTATTGAAAAGCGATACCGATAGATTTTAATCCTAGGGCAAGTGCAATAACGAATAATAATCATTTTATATTCTTGAAAACACAATACACAAGAAATTGATAATGTTCAACATGTTTCGCTATTATTAAATCTTTTTTTAAATTCATTCATCATTTTTATGTCAAAAAAAATAATATTAGGATAATAATAATAGTTGCTTTTTTTTCAACCGGATTTAAAAGTTTGAAAAGTATGTCTGACCAACTATGTCTGGGTCGCTGTATCATAATAATGACAGTGACATATTTAATATTTATTCATATATGTTACCTATGATTACCAAAATCACTTCGCTGAAAATAAATCTCTTTTTATATAACATCGAGGGATAATCACTGGAGCACTTACCCTATTGAGTTTAAAGAACATTCCCAATCTAGTGGTTAAATATACAATAACATTTCCAAACAATTCTATCTTTTATTCAAACAAAATATTTATTGATTTAGTATAAATACCAATCAGCAAAGTTACTTACGATATAATTAAGTACCCAACTACTTTTATTATTTCATTATCTTTTCATTGGCGTTATAAAATTCAATAAAACGTGTTTACCGACTACAGCAAAACTTGATTTTTATTTAAGAAGATTAAGGGCCGGTTTCACCGGTTGCTGATAAAGTCCCTGATAGCCTATTAGGAACTTATCTGCCAGATAAACTACAACTTTTGGTTTCACAGGTCTCGGATAAAAATATCTGGCAGATAAAGTATTAGATATCTTATCAGCCGATTCAAGTGGCTGATATAGACGTTATCTGATAGATAAAAAAAAAGTTTCAAGTGACGGGAACGAAAATAGTTTTAGTTTTAGACCATTATTGTGTGCTTTGTGTTGATTGCAGTCACAAGTGTCACAAATATTCTAAAATGGATTTATTTGTATTTTTAGAAGACGAATTAGATGAATATTGCGAACGTATTAAGCGACCCCGTAGGAATCAAGTAATTAACCCTAGACCTAATTATTTAGAATCACTTGAAGTTCAAGATTTTAGGAATCGATTTCGGCTGTTGTTTATATTCTATCGTTAATAGAAAGTGATATAAAAACTACAATGGGCTACTAAGTAAAAAATCTCCGTTAACTAGTAAATAAAGAAGCTCCGTTTCTTCTTGATTAAAATTCACACTTCTTTCACGTTTTTGTTTTTTCATTATTAATTAACAGATACAAAAAGAATACACAAAGAAAAGTTTAAAAATTGAAAAGCGTTTTAAGCACAAAATATCAACAAAGCAAAACAAATGATAGTTGCGTTTCGTTTCTGTAAACACGTAGCTAAGTATACAAATATCGTATTATTTTCATTCTAGAATCATAAAATTATAATTCGAAATATGTGAAAAAAGGTCACTTAAATAATATTGAACACAAAAAAAAATATTAATTAAGTTTTAAAAATGATTTTTGATTGACGATAATTTGGGTCGTAGTATTGAAACGCAAAAAAGCGACGTTGCCGTTCCGTCAACTAATAAGTGGCCGATAACTTATCTGCCAGATAAATTATCTAGCAGTTTGATGGTGAAACAGAAAAAAGTTAACAGCAACCTTTATCCAGTAGATAGCGTTAACTATCAGATAACTATCTGAAACTTTATCAGTAACCGGTGAAACTGGCCCTAAGAGTTTAAGGACAACTAAAGAAACCTTACATTCAGCAGATAATATAGGGTTGCCAGGGAGTTGATTCTCCCTAAAAGAGATGGCGCTACACGTTATTAAAATGGTTGCTCGCTTTAACAATTACATCGTTTATAAGGGCTCATGGTTAGTTGGTTGGTTCAACTTGATCAATAAAAAAATATTAATTTCAACGAAAACATTCTCTGATCCATTACACTCTATAAAACTTGTTCGGACTAAATTATTTATAAAAAAAGAAATATATCAGATGTTGCCAACCTTTTCTTGACTATGGAAACTTTGTTTTTTGTTTTGTTGTCCGGACCAAAATGTATATAAAAGTAAAAGTTTCCGGTCGCTATGCACCATTAGTTAAGAAACATCAATTTATACCCGAGGCTATTGCTACTTCTTAAAAAAATGCCTCATAATAACGTCCATTGACTTGAAATAAAATAAAATTTTGTATTTTCATATACGAACAACGCCCAACTGAGAGCCGAATTCTTCACAAAGTATATATAATATTATTTCGTTGTCTTATAAACAATACTTAATACTGACCTAATATTTTACAATAAATTAACATTATATATTATACATAACACAATCATTGTAATATTTGTACGCTCTGAATCACATTACAATAAATCGCTGGACCCAATTATAACAACACTCACTAAATTCTAGTATAATATATCCTCTGTGAAACACATATTTTCGTAAATTGACGATAATTCAATCAATTAATTTAAATTATCCATTTTAAATACATACATCTTTCGGTATATACAGAAAATGTAACATCAATGAACAAAACGCCGAGTGACTGAAAACTTAATTTATGTCTCATTAATTAATTACTCTCCATCCTTTTTCTACTCACGAAATAAGAGATATACTACATCCATAATGTATTAGAGGTTGCGTAGAAGAAATTGAGACCAACCATGGGGGACGTACACACGGGTACACGTCAGATATACCACAATATGTCAAATTCTCGCAATGAATTTCGTATTCTTCCCTCAATGTATTAAGGTTTTAAATCGAGTGGGGGAATTCACAATTTTGTATAATCTGACGTGTTTGAAGACTGTACATTTTAACTGTACCTATATTCACCAGTTTCGCTTATACGATTTTGTCCTCATATGTGCTCTATACAGTTTTGTAATAAATAAGACTATTCCATTGTATTAAGACAGTTTATAAATAGATATTTATATTGTGCGTTATTTACTATAATTAAAATGTAAATACTATTTTACAACCAAGTAAAAACGTATCACTTTGTAGAAAAGTAATCTACGTTATATAATAATTTATTATTTCACATTCAAAACTCAATTTATCTTTTTAATTTGCCACAATATACGGGGAATATAAAAAAATCGACTGTGCCATTTATCGGCTATCATAAGAAAATAAAATCACATTCAAATATTGTAAGAAGTTCAACGTAAAAACTTAAATCTCACGCGTTTAAGTTCATGGATCTTAATTTGTAAACTAGTTTTTATCTGTCAGTTTGATAAATAACTTGAAAATGCTATTTTATAATATTTGTATTAAAATTGTAAAAACTACTGTCTTGAATAAAAGCCTTCATAGAATGAAATGATAACACTTCCTAATCCATAAGTAGTAAAGCGGCAGAAATTAAAATGTATTACAGTTAAAAAATGACGCCATTGATTAAAATTTAAATAAAATCTTCGATTTAACTTCAGAACCGCAAAACCAAGGCGTGAGCATCTAACATGACCTTAACAATAAATTAACAATTAAACCTAATTATTATAAGAATACATTATAACATCATTCATCACCCTCAAATAAATTAACATTCGTAAGTATGCTAATAAAGTCATCCATCACAATAACAAAAATAATTATTTATAAAATATCGCCACAAAATCATTAGTACATTATTATGAAATAGAATAAAATAAACATGGAAAAAGAATTACCACATTTTCTTTATAATGTTAAATTTCCTAAAATAACGATATCAATACACTTTAAGTGATATTGTAAATATACTTTCCGCGTTTGAAATTAGCTCTATTTAAATATAACGTAAGGTACAATATGCGGTGAGAATCACATATACTGTTCAAGGCACAAAATATTATCGTAGTTAAAGTTAAAATATTAAACTTTTGTTCTGTTCACTTTTTCTGTAATATTTTATACAGATTTGTAATAATATTAAATAACTAATATCAATACTTTTGTGTATTTATATTGTAAAAAAAACTAACGAATTCAACCGCCTCAACTGCTCGAGACGGTTTTCGAACTCGTACCAGTCGAGATACCAGAAACTTTAACGAAGTATAGGATTTTTTAAGTATATATCAGGTTTACTACAAATTAATATCTGAACAGCTTAAAGAAATACATTTAATTATTGTTCGTTTACCAAACGTCCTCATCGCTCAATTAAGTCTTTAAGGTGAATGTTTATTATTACATTTATACACCATAATATTTCCTATTTTGTTTTTAAATTTAATTTGCGGTTAAAAAAGTATGTCAGCGTAGGTTACGCACGCGCGGAGGCCGGATGGTATATGATGACGTTGCTCGCGTGCGTGAAGGCGGGCTCGGTGGGGGAGGTGGGGGAGGTGGGGGAGGGGGGTGGAGGGGAGCTGCAGCGCGCGCCGCTTGCCGCCCAGCGTGCACCGGGTCGTGGCGCCGCTCTCCACCTCCACTAACAGGTCCACTCCTTTCAACCTGTGGGGAGATAAATTGTTACTATATAAAACCTGCGCAAATAAAAAAACAATTGATATTATCATGAAGTCATAGTGTTTTATGAAAAATAAGGGTAATTCATAGACGACCAATAAATGTTTGGGTGCGGTGTATGTAGTGTACAGTGTAAGAGGGTGTGAGGGGGAAGCGAGACGCACGCGCGGTGGCGGTAGGTGAGGGCGGCGAGCAGCTCCCCGCACAGGTCGTGGTGGGGGAGGGGGGGGCGCAGGCCCAGCACCAGGTCGTTGTTGGCGGCCGGCACGCTCACCACCACCAGCTGCGCGTCGCTGCTCATCACGCGCACGCCGCCGATCTAGACCAACAGAAACACGACTAGGTATAAACCCCACTCGTCAACGATCTCAAATCGCCCTGAAAGCTGAACAGATCTTTCTGCATATATTGATACTACTTCAGATATGCCGACGTAACTCGCTTTAAGGGATTTTAACCTTGTTAACTTTAGTGTAATTGTAGCTTGTCAATATTCTTGACGGGCCTTAATTAATCAATAATACTGCTGCTCCGATCGATCGAGTGATCGAGTCCTATATTGACAAAATTAAAAAATAGCAGCGGTCCCGGGTGTGATCCTTGCGGTACATCGAATTCTACGAGGAATACGTCAGACTCGCATACATCTACAGTTGCTGTTTGTACTGATATGTTAGAAAATTACTTAAGCAACGCTCTATTCGATTCCATTTTCTGAAAGAAAATCTTCATGATTGACTTTATCGAATGCACTCGTGAAAAACTGCGAAATTAACATACTAATTCCTTCTACAGGATTGTCATCATAATAAAGAAATAAAGTCACAAGAAAAGTTCTAGCTGACGAAACGTGCAATTAAAATAATTTGAACACAAATTATTATATAATAGGTATAATATTATTGGTTTTATATGACTGTAAGGCAGCTTTACCGACCACTTTAGATGAATGTTTTTATACCTTTTTTCTATATTTTTTATGAATTTTGTCACTTTATATTGTTAATTGCTATTCACTGTTGTTATTATTAATCATCAAAGTTACTTAAGTCCTCGTTCTGTTGTCGATAATCGATACGATCGGTCGATGTCCCTATCTATAATTTTTTAATATAAAATTAGTTGATGCAAATTGTTTACCTCGGCAATGGGTATCGGTTTCTTGAGTGGTTTGAAAGTATTCGCATCCAGTTTGCATATAAACGACTCTGTTACGAGCAAGCATCGTTCCGCCAACTTGTTGTGTCTGTTGAATTTATGAACGCGACACGAGAACACGGGCTTGCCGATCTGTTGGGTCTTCTGAAGGGTCACCATCGTAGACTTGTACAGAGCTGCACATATAAGCATATATTTTAAATGCGTTTTTCTTAATTAGACTTCTATGCCTGAGCTGTCTTTTTAGCTGAACATATCTAACGAAAGATTTTATCAATTTGAAACGTATATACATTACGAGACAGTATATATTTCTAAATTACTTATTTTCACATCTATACATAGTATAAAATATAGGCAATTTTGAACTGCATAACGGATTATAATGGCAAAGTAACAAACATATTTAAGTCTTACGCGAACACGGAATCTGTAAAGGGTCCGAAACGTCAATAAAACTAAATACAAACGCGATGAAACCGTTTAAAAGTTTTAAGCGCGTGAAAATATAAGACATCAAACATAATTGTTTTATAAATACATCTTGAGATATTTATTATGATATCCGTATATGTGGCAAGGTTCCCGTTTCAGTTCCGAATAGATCTGACAGAGGCGAACATGACCGAACACTGACCGCACTTGGCGTTGTAGGCGGGGTCGGCGAGGTAGTCGCCCGCCCAGTGGCGGTCGGCGCCCCACTGCGGGCGGCGGCCGCGCAGCACGCTGGCCGCGTGGATCTTCATCTTGAGCTGCGGCCACTGCGCGCGCGGCACCGGCCGCAGCACCAGGTACGCGCGCCACCGCCGGTACGCGGCCTGCAGCAGCGCCGCCGCCGCCCCAAAGCGCGCCGGCCAACGCGGCCACGTGCGCACCACGCCCTCCCCGCGCGCCACCTCCGCGCGCAGCTCCGCTATGTAGCGGCGGGCACGGTACCGTCTATCGGATGACCGAATCGTCAGATCATACTGAGGTGAATGCCTCTCATATACAGTGGTGGCGATATAATTAAGAACGAATTGTAGTTATAGAATGTTTTGAATGAAACGCCCTATTTTTTTAAATATTACTACGAGCAGTTCTCTTAACTTTACGCATTCTTGAAAAACTTGACACATTCCGATCTTCCATGACGAATAAACTTATTCAAACCGAAAGAAAAGATATCGCATTGGCGGTGAATAATTTTAGAGATGAATTAATGGAGACCAGAGAAGCGACCCCAAATTTTCAGGTTGCTCCCACCATTTTAAAGTCGCCTTAGTAAACTTAAGGTCGAATGCCTTATTAGAGGAGCGACGTACGTATCGCCTTCCACCAGAGCACACAATATTTTATTTTCGTTTCGTTTCGTGCTCGCCTATGGCACTGTTAGCATGGGTACCTTTCTTGCTATTCTGTCGTACAACTTTTCTTCTACTAAACGCCTTCGAATAGTGCGTGCCGAGATCGCAGAGGGTTGTCGTTCACCAAAATATTCTTGTCATATCTCGTTAAACCCTTTGAAAGGATATAATTTCGCCAAACGAATGATGTTTCTGTCGATCGTGGCATGCGCGGAATTTTTAAAACACTATTATAATTTTCAAAATGTTTTAAAGCATTGAATATCATAGTTTTCGAACAATGTAGATGGTCAGCTATTTTTTTATAAGTTTTAATATAATCTTCCTTGTAAATCGGTCGCAACTTTTATTTTTTCCCATTATTATTTTGAAAAATTACGTTCCAATTGTGTTTACACTACGAAATGGTGTCAGTTTTATGAGAAAGTAGTAAAGCCATAGAGTGTTCTTTGTTTGAATTTGAATAAAAAAATATATAGTTTGCGTTCTTAATTATATGACCAGTCAGTAAGAAGAATTTTTTGGATTAAATTTTACGTTTGCGTAATTTATACTTTTTTTATTCGTGGTTTATTAAATCTAATTTATAGAAGAAAGTTCCAGCAATGTAGAAATATTTTGGAGTACCACAAAAATAAAAATAAAAAACATGCAACAAGGTATATGTTTTTTTAAGTAAATGTACTATATTCAAGGGAGCGCTCTTAATTACATGGCCACCATTGTATATAGTATAAGTTTTTATTTAACTTTTCACCACCATCGAGATTTTATCATAATTTGACCGCATTTTTCTGAGATTTTCGTAAAAAAAACGATAAAGAGCGATGTGATTATTACCCCATTTATTGTTTATATAGAACTGCGTTTAAGGCCGCACTTAAGAAGTTAAATTGAACAATATATATTACTACGCTTGCGTGATATCAGTCGACTGAATTTTTCTATTCATTTTAACAAATAAGCAGGCACCATAAACGCCATACGCACGTACGTATGCACGCACGCACGCATGCACGCACGCACGCACACACACACACACTCACACACACATAAACACACTACAGTAGTAACTATCTAAAAATAGCGTCAATACATAGTTTTGTTCATTAAAAATAGAAGTACGACTCAAATGAAGCAAATACATCGATCAACTCATCGATCAATAAACGTCCAAAGAGTAAAGTACTTACATATACGAGGGTCAAACTGAAAGTTCTTAGAAAATCAAAAACTGATTACATTAGCCAGTTATTAGTTTTATTATATCTTTTCAAAATATTGTCCATTCACGTCAATATACCGCTGCATGCGATGGAACCACTGGGAAAAGCACTTTGCCCACTCGTCCTTAGGGGTCTCTTCAATGGCATCGCGATACGCAGCCACCGCTTCTTCAGCATTCATAAACCGCTTTCCTTTAAGTTTTTCTTTAATTTTTGGAAATAAATAAAAATCACAAGGCGCGAGGTCGGGGCTATACGGCGGGTGACCCAGTAATTCAACGTTTGATGTCGCCAAATAGTCGATCGTTCGCTTGGCGGTGTGCGACGAGGCGTTGTCGTGGTGAAGGAGGATCCTACTGCGAGGTCGTTTCTCTCGAACTTTTTCCAAGACAAGTGGCAAACAATTGGTAGTGTACCATTCTGCAGAAACTGTTTTTTGATCCTCTAACACAATTGTTGCAAAATGACCTATCCTTCCAAAGAACGAGGCCACCATTTTTTTTCCCGCACTTCGATCTCTCTTCACTTTAGTTGGCAACTCCTCGAAAGGAAACACCCACTGAGCAGATTGTCTTTTGGTTTTAGGATCATAACAGTAAATCCAGCTTTCGTCACCTGTTAGTATGTCGAACACAGCATTTGAGTCACCTCCGTTAAATCTTTCAATCATTTTACGACACCAATCCACACGATGGAGTTTTTGAGCCTCAGTCAAATTATGAGGTATCCACCGGGCGCAAAGCTTCCTGACCGCTAAATGTTCGTGGAGGATTTTGTGCACTTGACTCATACCGATGCCTAAGCTTGTCCGAATCTGTTGATAGGTCACTCTTTTGTCAGTCTCTATCATACGCCGCACAACACAGATGTTATCTTCAGTCGTCGCCGTAGAAGGCCGTCCCTCACGTAAATCATCAGTGAGATTAGTGCGACCACGTTTAAACTCATTAAACCAGTTGTAAACAGTCGCACGAGATGGGGCTTCATCGTGAAAGGCCAATCGTAGTCTATCATAACTTTCTTGTTGACTTAAATGACATCGAAAGTCATAAAAAATCATTGCACGAAAATTTTCTCGTGTTAAATTCATGATGACGTGACACAGACAATTTTCAATTTGCCGCCAAATCGTAAAACAAATGACAAATGAATGAAATATATACTCAGTAATATTGGCAAAGAGTTATATTTTCAAATTTTAGAATTATTTTTTTATTATATTGTTTATAAGTGGCCAGTTCTAAGAACTTTCAGTTTGACCCTCGTATATAGGAAATTAACAAAGAGTAAAGTATGAGAATAAACGTCAATAGATTGACATTTAACAGTTCTATATTTCAGTCAAAATCAAAGTATTTTATTTGCGCAATAATATGTATGTACATTGAGATTTTCTAATCTTTTTTCTAAAAACATCCAGCTAGCGAATTGCACTTCCGATAACGCAGTCTGCTGATATATTGAAATAGGTATTTGAGTACGTGCCACGAGTAAGAGTAGAGTCGAATACTTACTTCCATGCGTTGTATATGGTGAGTGCGGCCTTCATCTTCCTGTACCGCATCCGCGCGAGGGTGCCGCGCCACAGCTTCTGCAGGAGGATCACTATAGACGGGATCAGTTCCGATCGAGCCGCTTCTAAACTGTGCAGGGTCTTCGCCGATCTGAGAACAAATTTAAAAAATTAATATTCGTTGGTTTTAAATAGCTGCCAGTTATCTACCGATTAAACGTAAAATCAAGTGCGGATCAATAGATTTAAATTTAGTTTGAAAATAATAAATTGTTAGGAAACATCAAAATGATTTTTAAGACAATTGCATACCGCACTCACTAGCTTCATTACATCGCCCTAAGTTTCTATTTAATCGAAATGGTGGGTTTTATGCGTTCAATGCATCTGCCGTCCTGAACTGGTGGAAGGAAAAAAATATGTTAGCCGGTTCATGATTACGTTTAAGAAGTCTATTTAAAACTTGTTGTATGTGGCGCTTCTACCACGGTAAATGTTCTAAATTTTCTATGTCAATGGGGGAACGACTACGCTCCTTTGTCTAATAAAAATTACAAGCATATCTTACAAAAAATATGTTTTACGTCATTCACAGGGTGAGGTAAGAAAGAAAGAAAAAATATTTGACAAGTGTTTTTTCTTGGTATTGTGATAAAACAATAATAAAAGAAGCACAAATTATGTAATAAATAACACCACATACATTGCTCAGATTCCAAGATGAGTAGCTAAAGCCTCCGTATTATGGAGTATCTGAGACAACTAAGGTACCACAACATCCAGACCCGAATCAATATAGAAAAGTGCATTTTCTACATTGACCCGACCGTGAATCGAACCCGGGACCTCGAGAGATGGCGACACCTTGAACCTGGCGTGCGAACCGCTCGGCTAAGGAGGTCGTTATATTTTTTTTTTATTAATAAAAACATCGACAGATTTCATCGATACGTGAATTATCGACATCGATAAAAATATGCGCCCACCACTGCTCACAGTATTCTTGTGTTCGGTAGCGAGGTTAGTCATCCGAGAAGGGTTGCCCACCTGACGAACAGCTTGGTGTGGCCGTAGTGCAGGCCGTCGAGCTGCAGGTCGCGCGCCAGCACGAGCACGGCGTCGCGCGCGCCGCGGCCGCGGTAGTTGGGCCACGTGTACTGGCTCAGCATCTTGTAGCGCTTCAGGAAGCGGTCGTAGCGCTGCCGGCTCGCGAACCCGGCGCGCCGCACGCGCACGTTCTCCACCAGGCCCAGGTACGCCACCTGGTGGCCCACCTGCGCACCACGACCACACCACACTAAGTGACTACTTTTTGTGACTTTCGAGATTCGCCTATCTCCCCATAATTGAGCAGTCGATAAGACTATAATAAGCTATTTCTGAACTACATATAAATAAATAGTTATGTACGTTCATATTCCGATTCAGCTATATCAAAAGAACTTGCACATTATAAAAGGACGTTTTCAATGACATAAATATTTTTGAAACCTCCTTAATTAAATTTAAACGCCAAGTTGCTGAACACTTGCATAAATTGGATGTATGATTGTTATTGTTAATATACGTAAGTAAAAACCTTTGTATTGCTTTGTATGGAATGTATGAACGTAGTAATTAAATCTATTTCATATAAGTTATCTTCAATGGTTAAATTGTATTATAAAAAATGTTATATAGGGAACTGTAGGTTTACTTTTTGTTAATATTTTATGCTCATAATGTATAAACTGTTTGTCCCTCAATAAAAAAATATTGGAACAACGGAAAAGCAACGAATCAGTGATCGATCATTTTAGAGAAATCCTTAACTTGCTTTTCGGCTTCGAACATTCCGATGTGATAAGTAAAAAATTTACAATATCAATTATGTCAATAAAATTAATGAAACAAACTAGAGACTCCGATGCTCTATATGCGACTACCCACATAAGATAACTATAAACTGCGATCGTATTATATCAGATTTGTTATAGAAATTTCAGTTTTAAATCAATACCCGGAACGCTTATTTAGAATTTATAACGTTTTAACCAAAAATCTACCATAAATGTCATTCGCATCGTTGTGTAATATATCTCCGAGAGAATGGTCTAATGTATCCTCTCACCAGCGTGGGGTCCCACATGTTGGGGGCCTGGTGGGGGTTCGGCTTGACGCAGCGCACGTAGAAGGGCTCCTTGCTCTGCAGCCCCGACACCAGCGACGACATCGAGTTGCGGAACAGCGTCGCCGCCGACGGGGGACGCTTCGATGTCTGCAAACATAACACATTATTAACATATATATCTATTGTTATATCAAAAAGTATATACGTACAACTTTTCGCTGTCATGATAGATAAATTTCTAATCTCCAATTTGAGAGCGAGGGTCCCTATATACAGAGGTGCCACCTTTTGGGAATAAAATTCGGGACATTGTTCGAACTGTCCTCAGAAGTTATCAGACTTCAGTCCAATATAGATTCCTTCAAAAGACTGCAGAAAAATTAAAAAAGACCTTTTTGTATTATTTATTTTTTGTTAATTAGGTAACAAATAGAGATAAGGGCCGCCTGATGAAAAGCGATCACGTCAGCCATTACTATATACCAATCATAGCATGTTTACTTTTATAAACAAACGTCAATTTTTTTAAATTATTATTAATATATTTCTGATAGTTTGATGAAAAATCGAGATAAAATGAATAAGAAATTGCTACGCGGAAAATTCGGGACGGGAGGCAACCCTGCTATATAGTGTAATGTCGCTTTTCTCATTTTGACAAGCTCCTGTAGTCAAGTACAGTATGGAGTCAGCTATTTTCAAATAACCTGCTCACGGGGTATCTACATCTCTTACAGAACTCAATGAGAGCCTATGCGTATATAATAGTGTTGGCTTATCATCTACCGAGTCACTAACCGCTCTAATCGATATATATATCCAGAGCGTCGCCTCGTTTAATGAGTCTTTATCTTTACAATTTTATTTTTACAACAAAACGTAGCCGACGTCCTACTAAAAGGTCGAATTTCTATGTTCTTTGATTAACAATGTACCTTCTGTATATTGTCAGCTCCCTCCGGCCACATGTCAGCCAGTGATTTGTTGGTGGATGATCGCAGCAACCTCTTGAGGTCCTGCCACAGCGAGTCCTTGTTCTTATCCATGAAGCCAGTGATCGAGTACGTCACATCGCCGGCGTAGTGTCTAAACATGAATTGAACAATACAATTATTCTATAGTCGCAAACACATCAGATTACAAAAAAAAAATCTCCTATCCAATTTATGTCGTAATCTTTTGACGGTTAAGTTTAAAAAGATTGACAGAAACTTGATAGTAACAACTTTATATTCTGATGTGTGTACACTTGGATGACATCGAACACCTCTAAGCGTATCATCTCTTTCTTTTATCTAACCATCCATTATACATGTCGCAAAACAACGTATACAAAAACCTGTTTCTTCCCAGATTCAAATAAATTTTTTGAAGCGCCGCAAATTCCGCTCAATAACAATTGATTCAGTACCAGTCTTGTGCCGATCTGCGCACACGATCTGTGTAACTCAAATGGAGACTGACTAGTATTTAATATTGAATCATGATTATTATAAAAATTCTTATGATAAACACCTTCAATACGATCGGCAAAAATGTAAAATCTATTTTATGTAATACATCATTGAATATAGGTTTATGTTGTTGTACGACACTCACGTGATACGGAAGTCGACGCCATGTTTTAGTTTTTTGTCTGTGGGCGCGAGCTGTCTGGACGTGTAGTGTTTGTGGCCGTTGAGTCGTTTGTCCATGGCTTCTAACAACTGTTGGTCCGAGATCTGGTGACGATTATTAGCATATTTAGTGCAATACATTAACATACATAAGAATGATAAATTCAACTATAGGTAGAATATTGTTGTAACGTTACTACGTATATTTTATGATCATAAATGATTAAGTTTTTTTCTTCCTATTTGATTTCCACCATAGATCTGTTCACCAGCGTAGCATGTGGGGGATATTAAATAGGGCTGTGATGACGTATGGATGAGAGTCGTGACGTTGATCCCTCCCTCGCTGTATACGCGTGGTGGGATTGAGCGCGGCCTCGTCCATGATCGCTACGACGGCGGCGTGGAGTGGATCCCTCGCTGTATACGCGTGGTTACCTTAGTGGGATTGAGCGCGGCCTCGTCCATGATCGCTACGACGGCGGCGTGGAGTGGATCCCTCACTGTATACGCGTGGTTACCTTGGTGGGATTGAGCGCGGCCTCGTCCATGATCGCTACGACGGCGGCGTGGAGTGGATCCCTCACTGTATACGCGTGGTTACCTTGGTGGGATTGAGCGCGGCCTCGTCCATGATCGCTACGACGGCGGCGTGGAGTGGATCCCTCGCTGTATACGCGTGGTTACCTTGGTGGGATTGAGCGCGGCCTCGTCCATGATCGCTATGATGCCAGCGTGGGGCGCGTCCACGAGTTCGCATATGACGCGGTTGTTGAAGTACTGGACGGGCGTCCACTGTATCCCCTCGCGCGCGTACTCCTCCTGCTCCTGCTTCAGCACCAACTCTGTTGCCGACATAAAAAATGTAGTTTTACATAACTATCATGTATCTGCACGCTATCTTTTGAAACTGGAAATTATAATTAATATAGAATAATGTGACATTTGCAATCCAAACAGAAGGAATACATTCTGTAATCTTCTTCGAGTATATTTATTCACATAGAGAACAAAGTTGATTTGAAATATTGGGGTTGGAAGTTTATTTAGAAATCCCATTATTTTTAAAGTTAGAAATATTAAACACTAAAACTAATAATTATTGCTCGGACAAGGTTAAAAAATTAAAATAAAGAATATTAACTGAGCCTCAATTCAATTCAAGATTTGATTCTTCAAACATTTGAATGATTTGAAATTATATGCAACAAGTAATCGAGATAATAAAAACGGCATTAATGTTTACGTATTAAAGTCGAACTCACCAATGAACAGCTGCTGCAGCTTCTCGTTGCAGTAGTTGATGCAGAACTGTTCGAAGCTGTTCGTGTCGAATATTTCAAAGCCGTATATGTCCAACACGCCGATCAGAGTGTTCTTGTACGTATCGCGGGGCACCTCAATGGCTTTGTTGATCTGGACATATATACACTGGATCAATATATATATATATATATTATAGATTATTATATATTGTACAACGGCCGCGCTCGGGACAAGAAAATATGAATAAATACTGCGCCATTGAAACATCCGCGCGTCCGAGGAGCGCAAGGGGGACGGACGTCTGAGGCATTTTGTTTTCGACCTTACGGTTGCTATTGTAAATTATAATCAGACGTTCGGACATCATCGGATTCGAGAGGTTCGATTTGCATAAACGAAGATCTACGTCGCGCCATATTCTTCGGAAGAGGCAGGTGCACTCGCCCCGGGCGTCAGGGTTAGGGGGCGTCAAAAGATTCATTTACAGCTAAAAAACGAGCTTTACCAATCTCTTCGTAAAGTGTAAACGAAATGAAAGCAACGTGCGATAGTGTAAAATCCGGGTGGGGGTCTGACCTGGCTCACGACCCAGGTGAAGAGCCTGTCGTAGGCGGCCTTGGCGAGCGCGAGGCGCGTGTAGTGCGCGTCGCTGCGCGAGTGGCGCTTGCTGACGAGGTCCCCGCCCGCGGCCAGCACGCGGCCCGCCAGCGCCGCGCGCAGCGCCGCGCCCGCCACGCCCAGCGCGCCCGCGCACGCAGCCAGCGGCCCGCCCACGCTCAACTCGCCCTCCCCCTCCCCCTCTCCGTCACCCTCCGAGAACGTCAGCTCGCCCTGCACACGCGTTTAAGATCGACTCGCATTTGTTATCGGAGACGTATCAGACGACTTTTTATATTTTTACTTTTGAATATACATGACATATATTTAAAAAAAAAGTATCTTTTAAATAATAAGTTTAAATCTATTAATAATTTAATTTTCAAAGGAGAATGGGCAAAAGTCGGCTAAAATTACGTAAATTGCGCACTACGCATTTATTTATCAAAAATCTTCTCTTTCATTATAATTTATTCTATATGAATACTATTATATAAATTTGCGGCGTTTAAAATTAACCGTATTAAAACAATTGCTAAACTGACCAATTTAGACTCATGATATGGCCTTGGATAAATGTCAACCATGCAACAATAGACTAGATTAGGATGATCGCCTTATCGATTATAGAAAACTAAGGGATTAATCTCGTATCGAAAAAATCTAAGATAAGACTTCCTTCGGTTTACTTTTGAGCATGAACAAAGGTATGTACGCTATTTCATAGTAAATTAAGAGACAAATTAATTGAATCTTAATATGACGCGTACAAACTGAACCAACGATTGGCCAAGTTAACATTCATCACTAATCCCAGAGAATAGGCTTTGTATATTCGTGTAGGCATAAGGATAAGGATAAGTTTTCACGGAGGAAGAAACATGCGTGTTTAAGCGGTGTTATACATAAATATAACAAAATGTTTGGTGTCATACGTAAATATAACAAGATTCAATTAGATTACCTAAATATCTTAAATTAATATTCCTAGTGACATTCGTTATAATATTTTCTTTAGTGGTGAGTATATACCTACCTACTGCAATATAACTACGACTACCTACTAAGTTTCAAGTTATTAATCGACTTGACATGCGAACTTCCTACCACTACTTTTACAATACGAAGTATTTTAACTTTGATAATGTTAATTAGGTACTATATTAGTCATAGACTAGTTTTTAAACGGCCCAGTCGTTTTATTGTTTATCTTTTACAATAAAAAATTCAATCTTTCCTTTTTGTAATATAGGTATAGATATATACTTTTTCGCAATTAAATATTTATATTCGTTAGTCATCGATTGTTTGAAATACATTATTCATTTTATTGCTCTTATATACGTAGATATTATAACGTCATAACCTCAAAATCTCTGTTAAATATTCAGATATTATCCAACTCCGGCATAGTTTTAAAATGGTTTTTTTCCTACTCATTCTAGAAATAATTCTCTATCGTTTACCATTGGTTCCAACAATGTGTACGGTTACGCAAAAATAGCCGAACTCTCATAGTAAATTGCCCATTCTCCTTTCCCGCTACGACCCAACTTCTGTCATGACTTCGCTATGAAGTCACGCCTCTCTAAAATTATTAATATCATTCGCTGTGATTCTTCTATATATACTTAAGGTTTAATAGGGTCATCTACTCTGTTTGAAATAATACTTGTAATTATTTATTTTACTTAAATAATGCCATAAAACAAATATTTCGGAAAAATAAACACGTTTTCTTGCCTTAAACTTAAATCAAAATTTGAACTTTTTTATACCTGCGAAAACGCTGTCCGAAATGAAGTCATTCTGATATGTACACTAAACGGATGCATAGAGAAGACTAAAAAATATTTCAATAAAACAAAAACAATGCCATCGATGACGAAATAAAAAAAATATATAAACGAAGAATAGCGGCATCTAGGAATTAGATTTATAATTATTAAACATATTTTTACGACATGACAGTGACGTCACACAATAGCGGATCGTGTTTCAAGTCACGTGACACGCAGACAATAAATCACGATTTTTAATTATAAGATAATCGTGCGATTTTAAGTCTTAAAATTAAAATCTCTATATTTATCATGATGTAAATTTTCCTTTTTGTGCAATTTCATTTTTCACTACCGTAACTACCCTATTCTCTAAGTTCTGATATGAGTAGAGGGGCGTGTCGTCCCTCTGAATGCGGTTTGCGTCTGCGATCATGCTGTTTGCGGTCACGTGACAACGAGTATAAAAAATTTGTTTTTTCATAATTTAATAAATATTATAAAATAATAAGCATAAAAGTGTGATTATTGGTAATAGTATATTAAATACTACCAGAAAAAATAATACTATGTATGTACATACATATTTTATTTTCGTTTACTGTCTACGCCATCTGTAAGATTCGTTATGAACACAATTTCTACTAATTTAACCTCGCAAAAGGCTCGATGTGAACATATACAGGACGTCCTTTAAAGAGAACACATATTTTTCTACAGAATAGTATGATTAATATATAACACATTCAATCAAAAATATTAGAAACTCGTCTATATAAGATGTAATATTATTATATGCCAAAACTTCGTGGAGTGAATTAGATAAGTATACTGATCAACTTTTACTATGAGAGCAACACTGAATTCACGAACAAAATGATCAGCTGTTTCATACAAAATTGTAATACCTGCAATCGTTGACAGTATGAAACAGCTAAAATAATATATAATCCCACCTACTAAGTCCTAGTATTACACCTTATATTTAATAAGAAAAACAAAACATTTATATAATTCAAGTACATTAATAAACATTATATCAAAATATGATGAGAAATAAAACGGATATAATGTTTCGCTCACGGACCAGTAGTATGACGCCCGCGACGATACTCCATATGTCGTCGACGACGTTGGCCGGAAACCCGAGCGCGGAGAATGCGCTGTTGGTGACGGAGTACAGCTTCGAGTCCTGCGCGGTGGCGCGCTCGTTGCCCAGGATCTTGTACACCGCGCTCGAGCTCAGGGCGTACTTCTTCGTGTACGCGTTGTTTGTGCTCAGCAACTAGACGTGACACAATTTTATTAAAATTAAAATCAGTAGGAAACTACTTGTACATGTAGCAACTTAATTAATTAACTAATAATATTAATATAAAAGTAGATATGTAGATTTTAATAAAAAATACTATTCTAATATGTTTTCCTGTAATCTTTAGATAAAAAATATTTTTGATTAAAATTGCTTAAAAATCCACTCTGTCTCTTAAAGCTCTGAGATGGATCTCGAACCCATGACCTTTCACAATCCGGCGACTGCTCTAGCCACTGAACTACCCAGGACCTAACAGGACTGGCGAATTTTTCATGCTACTACAGAACGTACTTTCATCAATGTTCAGGCAATCTACCCAAACAGCCAAAAGAATATTTTCTGTATTATTATTTAAAAATTACAGCCCCAGTTCAGTCCAGGTCCATGGCAAAAATTTATTGTGATGGCGTCCACAAGTACAATATACAGTTCGCATACCTTTTTTATTAATGAAGGTCGATAATGCAACCGAAGTATTCAAAGCCCTATTTACATTTCATACCCAATCAATCGAAATATACGTATACATTGGTCTAACGTCATTGTCGGTAATGTTATATTTACAAACACCATCCGCACACGATGTCATTGTTTATTAATTAATAGATGTCACTGTTATAGCTACCTACGGACTATAACTAGGACATTATACTATTAATTTTAAAACAAACAACAGTTGAATACCATGTTTATTTATAAGGCACAATTATTATATGTTTTTATACTTTAGAAATTATTGACTAAAATTCAACTATTTTATCAGTCTGTTTTATATTATTGGAGAGTCCAACATTTTTACGTGCTATAACTTAAAACGATAACACGATTAAAGATATAATTTATAAATGGGATTAACATTAGCCTTGATACGAAGAAGCATTAGCCAGCGGTTGGTAAACCATATAATGTAACTTTTGCTACAGGAAATTAAATCCATTTTATATAATATATATAACATGTCGTGACCGGGGGTAATCATGGTATGAGTTATCTAAAGCTACTAAAGCTTGCTATATTAAAAACGTATTAATCTAATGTACCCAGACTATGGGTCGCGACTACCAAACAATGGTTGACGAGGGTAATTTACCCTTTAGGAACTGCGGGTGGTATCGTGGCAGTAGGCGTGGTGATCTACCAAGGGTTTACATCAGTCCCCAGGCATTTCCGCGACGTTTTGTCAGAGGCTCAAACTTGATGGATCTTATATTGTTCTATTATATATAGTTAATAAAAAAAATCTGTGTTCCCTTTGCCAAAGTGGAGTTCTAATTCAGGACGCAATACTACAAACTCTATTTAATGACATGATGAAAATCTTTCATAATTTGCAGTGATTACTTCAAACCGTTCAAATTAACCTCACGTCGCGAGTGATTCGGCGAAAAATGGTCTTATTTGTGACGTCACTATTAAATAACTCTATAATTATTGTTATTAACAAATGGAAAGTTTCGACGCACCAGACCTTACCTGATAGAAGGAGTGGAAGTTCCTCTCCCCTGGCTGTAGAGCAACGACCCTGCTCTTCTCCAGAAGGTAATTGCTTATGTGTCCACCTACGGGGTCGCCCTTGTAGTCGAAGTGGATGTCCATATATTTGCCGAAACGCGACGAGTTGTCGTTCCTGTTGGTCTTCGCGTTTCCGAACGTCTCCAGTATAGAGTTCGATTGTATTAGAACGTTTTTCACCCTTAAATTAAAATAAGTATATGTTTTTATCTATTAAAGAATAGTACTGATGTAATTAACACATAATATGTGTACATCGCTGTAATAATTAGTAATGATATTTTGAGTAATTTGAAAATTAGTGGAAATGTATGAAACAGACAAACAAAGCGGTCAAAACAAGAATATAGTGTAAATATAGGCTTGTGCCATCATAAAGTATTAATGACGTGATTTTTTATAGAAATGAAATGAAAATATCTTTATTCAAATAGGCTATTATTACAAGCACTTTTGAATCGTCCAAAAAATTTTTTTCCCCCTACCACTTGTAGAAAATCACTGACACAAATATACGAATATTTACACACCAAGCTAAAAACATTTAGCGTACCATTTCTACCTACAGGCAGGGATCAAAGGAAGGCAATTGCTCAACTAATCAAAAAGACATTTTAAGAAAGAAAGATTTCTGGTTTCTCACCTGTCAATATATTCCCTTTGCACTTGTGTCGTATTCGCCGCTATATATTTCATTATAAATTTAGAAGCCTCTGTCTTGCCCGCACCTGACTCTCCTGATATAAGGACGCATGTGTCTCTACCCTGCAAAAGAAAGCAAATAATTATATAGATTTATCTTGGGCACCTGGCACTAAGACAAATAAATAATTATGGATTCAGAGCTCTATTTATGGTTTCTACGAGTCCTGTCAAATAAATGAGGAAAATAAAACAAAACGTTCCAGATAGCTTTGCGATTTTTCTTTACACAAAAGCCTTAAAACGAAATCAATTTAGCCGTATTCGCAAACGGCCTATACTCGCAATCGTTAAATTAAACCTGCAACCTAAGGGCAAGCAATAAACAGCGGCAACACCGAGATTTAACATTCCGTGACCGCTATAAATACTTTGATGCCATGGTTAAATGGTGTTTTCATGTCATCACATTAAAATGAGGTCTAAAAGGGGTGAAATCGGTGCGACATTTTAAGGACTGAAAAGACTGTCAAGACATACAGAAAAATTTATGCTATAAAAGAAGCCGAGGGAGGCTAAGACACACCTTTACCATCAAATATGACTTCCAGACAAGCTTGATGTCTGGAAGTGAAGCCAAAACCATAAAATCTAGCATATACAAAAAAATATATTTACAAATGTCAAGGAAGCTTAATATGTACGTAAAGAACAAGACTTACGCCGCTCGATTCTCCTTATTTAGATCGAAAAGCTTCTGCTGCTAAAATATAGATAGGAGTTCACCTGCTGTCTCAGCACCCGCTGGCAAGCATCAGCGACGGCGTACACGTGCGGTTGGACCTCGAACATCTCCCTCCCGCGGTATTCAGCCATGTGCTGTGGCCCATATATGTCCAATGTTTTGTACGGGTTCACCGACACTAGCACTTCGCCAATGTATGTGTATATTTTGTTGTGTTGAAACCTGGACAGAAAGAGAACACTCTTCTAATAAAACACTCTTCTAAAATTGGCTCTTTTTATGCCAACGTAATTATTGAAACTTATTAACGTGACCTTCGTGGCAAAAAGTGGTTTACACGTATGTTTCATGGTGTAGATGGCGACCCTTTTTATCTGTAGTAACTATAATATAATAATATCATGTTTCGTTTTCACGTTTCAGGCAAACTAGCTGCAACACGTATACGTCACATAAAATATTCACGTATAATGCTTTAACAATATTTCGTCTTAAATTATATTATTATTCATGATTTATGTTGAGCCTAATAGTCTAGACTAGTGTAAACACTAATGCCGGACGTGACTTAAGACCGGATAAGACGTCCACAAATACCCGAATGTGCACCGATGCGTACGAGGAAAGGCGTATGGTTGCATTTAGACATAGATGATGTTCAATACTTTGTGAATATCTTATAAACTATTACCGATCTACCTCAGCTAGGACCAAAAAATATAGTCGGCATATTTATTCCGACAAACCGAATATGTTATTTCTTTGTTAAGTCTTATAAATTTTTATTTCAGTATCGTCATTCTCAGCCCAAATATGTACTAGAATTTATTTCACTTATCAGGTACAAGTACAACGTTTTTGCATTTCTCATTGACTTATGGAGTGACAACCTAACAGGTCTGAGGCGCACAATCAATCTCAAAACACACCACTGGCACCAAATTCGTACGGTAGATAACACACAAATATTTGGGTAAGTATTTAAGAATTTTATCGATTGAATTCAGTCTTTTATAATTCTCCAACTGTGGGAAGTATCAGAGTATGCTTCAGCGAAACAAACCTGTTATATTTGTGGATTAGTATTCTTGAAATATCGCTGTCAAGCGTATTAATTAGTATCTAAGCTTATAATTTGGTTATTGCGCATATAAAATACATATACCCATGTAGCCAAAAACTTAATATTGTTATATCTTTTGCCAAAACCTCGTTTATATAGTCTCGTCAAAGCATCAACATTAAAAGTAACTTCATCTGTCTGTCTTTAATTTTTCGATTTGATGCAATATTTAATTTAATCCCGGCTATAAAATCACAAAAAAGAGTGACTGTTTTCACTACAACTTTACATAAACAATCATGATTTATTTACATCAGATATTATGACTGATATTTTTTATAACAATTTAAACATTGAAAGAAATAACGATAAGCTTGAGAAAAAAATAAGTTACTGGATATACAAATCGCGGGTAAAGATCTTACTTAATATAAATTTGATACACAATATAAACGCTTAAATGCAGTAAATAACAAAATCTTTCCTGTCAGTACAATTTGATTGAATAATGTCATTACACGGGCCGGTTGCACGGTTGATCTCGCCCCGTTAACGGCTACTATCACGGCTCGTTACACACATAATGTTACAACAATCGAGCTCTATTAGACGGCCCGTCAATCGGTAATCGTCTTCATTTAGACAAAACGCTTTTTTGTTATGTTTTCCGCTTGAGCTGGTAATGTCTACTGGTTTTTAAATCGCAGAATAAATAAAAGCCTCGCTTTGAATACTGTGAACAAATAGCGCGGTTAATTAGTTAACTTTTTTAAAGTGAAGTTAATCACAATTTTTTTTTGTATATACACATTTTTAGAGCGGCATTTTTAAATAAACTATGGTACGCATTATTTTAATATATTATGCGTTATTTGAATTAACAACACGACATATGTAAGCGTAATATAATTACGTAACAGTATTAAAAAAACATTAGAAACAAGTATGAATAAAAAAAATACATTGTAATTCATATCATAATAAATTAAAATGGGATTTTATCTTTTCTATTATATAATGTCATTAATAAATTACAAATTAATCACTGCTTATATTAAGATCTATCAAGCCGAATAAACATATTATACGAGTCGTAGAAAGTTAAGTGTCAATTCACAAATCTATTCACCGTGTCATTATTTATATTTTCTGACTCCACTTTTCTCTCTGACAGTGTGACAATTGCCTTGATAATATCCTTAAATAAACAGCATCTACGTACGGTACGAGTACGTTAGTTACCTCATTCAACTCGATCGTCAGTTAATATAAATAATACTACTACCCACACGCAATTCGGGATCATAAAAAATCATAAGAGCCGCGGACGTGAGCCAAAAAGCAAAATTGCACAGTTCATTGATCCCCGAAGCGAGACACAGCCAGCGGTCAACACACGAGACACACGACCGTAACTAACGTGGAAAGAAACTAAAATCAATCTTAAACACAAGAGTGCCGATAAAAAGTCATTTTAAAAGCACTGATGCTCTTTTGTTTCCAACATAAACACACCCGGCGAAATCGCCTAAGGAAGGCAACTCAGCAAATCGTTGCCGCATTCAACGAAGGTTTTAATATATTTTTTACGAGCTTTAAAGCCACGATGCGCTAAGAAGGAGTAAATACACTCCAAAAAATATTCCGCAAATTGAAAATGCACAAATTATCCGCGCTTACTTTGTAGGACAGCCATCTCTCCGTTTTCGCGGATACATCCTAATTTTAAGGGCGTCCGGAGACTGTCCTGTTGGCGTACTTAATTTAACTGTCCCCGAGTCAATCTTTGGCAATTGTACGGGATAATAACTAGCTGACAGTATTTATTAATTTTATTCCATTTAGATGAGTATGTAATACAGTTGATTTTACTAGATATTGCGATAAGCAACATTAAATAGCAAATTATAATTGAAAAAGCATGGTGTGTAAAGCTCGGCATGACGTCACCGCCTCAATCGACGCCCGCGCAGCCGGTTTGTAGTTCAAGATCAGCATCCGAGGTCAGCCAGTATTACTAACTTCGTAATCGATAATACACAAACACGAAATAGAACTGATCCAAATTACTCATTACTTCCTAAACATCAGACTACTTGAAAATGATTCAGCTTCCAGTATGTCTCGAATCATGATACGAGTGTTTCATCTCCCTTCCCTTGTCACTCATGTTCAAAGATTCTTTACATCTAATGTTGTTTATATTTAATACTTGCGTTATTATTATTTATTGGAGAGCTCCATGGCGCAGTGATTAGTGCGTACGGTCTACAATGTGGAAATTAAGCAACTATCACAAGAGTCGATTATAAGATGAGTGATCAAAAATGAATTTCGATTCCATCTAAAAAGGAACTGTCCCTCACCATCACCAGTGGCAAAATATTATAGGGCGATGATGAAGACTGGTATCCGATTTCGAAATTTGTCAAACCAAGTTCGAATAAATTGCTTGTGTAAATAAGCATATAAATATATTGCATCAAACTTCTTTACTTCAAAATATCGACCAAATAGACACGTTATATAGGAAACTAATACATATTTTGTAATGTTAGGTACTACTTCGGCTGACAAAATTATTAGATATACGATAGTTTTTATAAACCTCAATGGTGATTTGCAGAACCCTGATTAAAATATTCAAATTAGTCGTTTCACCAAACCTGTAACGTTAAGTAATGCCTTATTAAGCACTTGCTTTGTTCAACGGCAATGTTTGTCTATCATTTTGCATACTTTAGTTCTTTTTTTTATACCTAACGTTAATAGCCTTTACAAGTAAAGAGATAATAACATATATATATGTATATTATGAGGTAATAAACAAGAAAAATTATACGTGGTCTTATATTTACACGAGCACCCAAGTCGTCATTGTCCATAATATAAAAATTAAAAAATCTCATCATTTATATCTTAATTCTAATATATAAACTCCATGATTCCAACTTACTTGATTGCTTTTATCCCTTGAATCAACCGTTATGGACAAAGAGTAAATAAATGTGTCTGTCACATTACGCAAATGCCCAACGTTAGTTGCCGCACAATGCATGTTTTAACTTCAAACGTTACATAAAGTCGTTATATAGGTGGATCCTTGTCATCGGTGAAACCCATTTTCACTTTAGAAAATCAAACCAATATTTAGGTGTCAAATTTGGCGCCTCTCCTAATTTTAGTGAAAACGGGCATTCGTGAATGAATGACAGATTATTTAGCTATATTGTAATATCGTAACAAAATATGTCGGTCAAAATAAGCGGTCGGGCACGTCCGCGGGAACATTCCCTCTAAGGAGACCTTCATAACTTCGTCGCTCGCCAAATCGCGACACAGACAAATCTTTTCCAGGAATAAAATTGCCTTCTATTATTGAATATCTCACAAAAAAAAAAACAGAAACACATTAAGACGAGACGCCAACATGTTAAACGAAATGTATAATGACTATTTTTAGAACAATACTATAAATAAACACCTGATGCAACCCCGTGGTCATACAATTTTCGTTATGGGTCGCAAGTTTCGCTATTGTTGGTGAATTATTAAAAAACAATTATGGTAACTGACATGATTTATGTAAATGTCATCACTTATGACCTAAAGCAGCTGGTGCAGCTGGTTCTTCTTGCTCTTTCTTCTTGTCAGCTAAAAGACGTCCTGAACAAATGGTAGGGGAAAAACTCATGAATAATAATTATCGGCAAAATAAATGTATATCTAATCGACAAGAAGAACTGTATCTTATCGTAACTTAAAAATGTTTGTACATTATTACTTATCAACTGGAAAACGTTTAGTTGCAAAAGTTACTTGAAGTATAGGTGGTTATCACGTGTCGAAGGATAAGCGACGACACGCGATGAGTCACGATAGGCGAGTTGATGGCTAACCCGGCCCATGATGATTCATACGAGACGCAGTGGCGTCACACTCTAGTCTACTACTCATCTTTTACGTAGATTCATCAAAATTTGCGATCAAACACAAGACTCTCAAGTAGCCTGAACACGGAAAACAAAACATGCTGTTATCCTTGTTTTAATTAAAGTCACATGAGGCATAAAGACACTTCGAAATAACACTTCCTACATACCTACCGCTAAATTAATATCATCAGTCTAACCAGATTCAATTAGAATCAGAATTTATC